AAATCGGCGTTCCCAGAATTCCCTGCGTTACATTTCAAATTTGATGTTTTTTTGTTGAAATAACTATGTTTCTTCTTAGTTTTTTCTTATCAGTTTTGTATATTAGGGTTGTGTGTTACACCTAATGTTGTTAAATGAATGTTTATTGCATTATTTCAGTTTCATGTGTGTTACCATGATAGTGTTTAGTGTTTGTGTGAATGACACTGTGCACCTTCTATATATGTTATTATTTAAAAGCTGCTTGTGATGGGCTTTGGTTCATCATGTGACTTTCTGATCACCACCTGCATTTGGTGGTTATCAGTGTATTACAAAGGTACAAAACAGATTTCAGTACTTCAATAGGTTGGTATATCAACATTATATCAGTTAATGAAATTGCGGTATTTAACTGTAAATTTAAGTTAAAACTGTAAAACCTAAAACGTCGCTACCATATTTTTTACGGTAAAGTTTCGGCAACCACAGCTGTTGGATTTTTACCATAAATACAGAGTTTTTTTTACAGTGTATATAAGAGAAACCTGTGAAATGTATTCATGAAGGATCATGATTTTTACTCATTTGCTTTCACTTTCAAATGGATGTATGGCGATACTCCCTCTGTCACCAATCTAATGATCTCGACTGCTGCATCTAGTAAGATTTATGCATGTAAATGTCATGAAAATAGTTTTTTTTGTTAAGGAAAAAGTTAAGAGAAGTTACTTTTTATTATTACCAGTTTCTCATTTTCCACATAATGTATTGAGGATTTTGGAACAACAGGCTGACATGAGATCACCATGGTAAGATAAGGCGATACTCCCTCTGTCACCAATCTAATGATCTCGACTGCTGCATCTAGTAAGATTTATGCATGTAAATGTCATGAAAATAGTTTTTTTTTGTTAAGGAAAAAGTTAAGAGAAGTTACTTTTTATTATTACCAGTTTCTCATTTTCCACATAATGTATTGAGGATTTTGGAACAACAGGCTGACATGAGATCACCATGGTAAGATAAGTTTCTTTCTTTCTTTCTTTCTTTCTTTCCCAACAGTTATAAGAAAGCCTTTGAAACTACTGTAGCCTATACTAAAACTATAAATAGTCTTGATCTTGACAACCATCTGTGTGCCTGTCCAGTATCCACTAGGTAGAGGCACTGTCTTTCACCCCCTGAAAGTGTAGTAAAGATAAGAGGATTGATTATTGGTTTATGATTAATTGAACACTCGCGAACTCCTGAAAACTTTACTAGCCTACCATTATTAATGAACTGTTCTGTCACACAATAACAACTTTGAAAGCGCAATTTTTGTATTTAAACGGACATTCATAAGCAAACCCATAAAAATAAAGCAACTCATAAAATTACAATGAGGTGAAAGTCAACGTTTCCAAGCGAGTGTTAAGATGTTTTTTTGTGTGTGCATATTTAAAGAAAAAAAAATCTACTTAGAACCCACTGTTACAGCTCTCAGAGCTCTAGTCTTACTCCACGCCTTTTCATCCAAAAGTGAATCACGCGATTATAATCAGAGTGTAAAGAGCCAGCCTCTGTTAAACTACTAAATGTGCAATTTACATCCGAAATAAGCGATAAGAGCAGCTATTAACCCGCCAGGTAAGAGAGCTCATTTCACGCGCTGGGATGTGGGGTTATTTTGGTTGACAGCTGAAGCCCATTACAAATGCGTGCAGCTACAAATTCGCAGACAGATGCGGTAAAGGGGAAATGAATCAGCCCATAAACGCTTTTAAAAAGCGGACTCATTCCGCAGGAAAGCACGGGGTTCAGATTGGCCTGCGAGGGCTGATAGTTTTGATAGAAAGAGTCGATACATTGAACTAAAAGTTGTTTCATATGCTGACAATTATTTCCTGCTCTGTCCGGCTATTCTGGCAAAGGAAGTACAGAGAGGTCGGTTTCGTTGATACTCAATAGGAAACGAAAGTGTTTTGGAATGTGTATTGGGAAATGCATAATTATATAGCATATTAATCGTAAACTTCAGTCTCGTGCAGATGTCTTCACGATGGCAGGCAAACAATAGAAAAGCGTGGCGCATAAAACATGCCCGCAGCCTAGTGAAACGTCCGCAGCTTAAATATATTTGAGCTATTTTAG